CCTCCTCCTCCTCCTCCTCCTCCTCCTCCTCCTCCTCCTCCTCCTCCCCCTCGCCATTCCCTGCTGGCAAGCAGCGAGGCGAGCAGTCGGCCGAGCGCCACGTCGCCCGTGTCGAAGCCCTCCTGACGCTCGGGGCGGGTCGATCGGACTCGGCACTGCCGCAACATGCTCGCCCTCGTGCTGAGGGCTCCCACCCCGAGAGCTTGCTTCTACCGCTGATGGGCCTGTCTTCCACCACCACCATGAGTTGGAGGGGGGAAGCAGGAGGACGAGGAGGAGGAAGAGGAGGAGGAGGAGGAGGAGGAGGAAGTGGAGAACCCCCTCCCCCCCAAACTTATGGTGGTGGTGGTGGAAAACAGGCCCATCATACCGCCACCCTCCCCACCGAAGGGAGGCCTAGCCCGGAGCCCTCAGGACGGAGGAAGGAGGGGGAGGAAAAGCAGGAGGGAGGAGGGAGGAGAAAGGGCCCAGGCATCCAGCTGCTCCCACTCTCTCGATGCGTGGGCCCCGGAGGTCTGGACCACTCCCCTCCGGGCCGCTCTCTCGTCCTGCGTCGCTTCCTTGACGCTCCCGCGGCACGGCGAGGGCCCCCCGAGGCCGAAAACGGTCCAAAACCCGCCGCTCCGATGTTCGTTCGGCGCGTCGGATTACAGTCAAAAGCCCTAACAAGGACGCGCCGTAAGGACGCAGGACCCTTGGAAGCCGAAGTTGGGATTTTGGGGGGCGGCGGACGACGAAAACCCCAAGGACGCAAGAGCAAGGAAGAGCAAGGACGCAAAGGGCACCCTGAGCAAAGCCGCGCGTCCTTCTTAGGGTTTTTGACCGTATCTGGGGAGGGGAAGGCACAAGACGACGGCACGGCGCCCCTCTGCGCGACTCCTCGGCGCGATCGCGGGGGCGCCCGCGGGATGCACTGGGAAGCACTCCCCCCGCGCGACGGTGGGCGGCCTGGCCCGAGAGAGCCTTAGGTCGGGCATGTCCCCCCACAGGCGGATTCTGTGCGAAAAATGATAAAACACCCCGACATGTCCGAAAATGGCCCCAACAGTACACCCCCAAAACTAGTCAACATGCAAATTAAAGACTAAACATACCCCAGAAGTTTGCAAACATAATCAAACACAGGCTTAAAAACGTCCCCAGCCTATTTTTTTACTATTTCTGAACGTGCTCCCTCTAGAGGGTCAGGCCCGACTTAAGGAGAGCCCCGGGCGGCCCGAAAAACGAAGCGCAACGAGCGGGCGGCGGGCGGCGCGAGCGCGACGGGAACAGCAGGGCGGGGGGAGGGATCGAGGGGACGGGGGGGCTTGTGCAACTAAGGCTGGAAGTCATCGGCATCGGCGGCGAGTGAAGGGGGCAAGTGAGAAGGAGAAGGCCTTCTCAAAGGGCGGCGGGGCTTCTCGGGAGCCCTCCAGCCTCCTGAGAAGTTGTTTTTGCGCCTCTGGGACAGGCCCAAAAAACTTCTCAGGAGGCTGGTGGACTTCCGAGCGTTCTGAGAAGGTCCGCCCCTTTGCACTTCCCCCCCGGGCTCGCCGCCGAAGTAAGGGTGCACGATAAGGATGCAGGCCCCTTGGACGTCCATGGCGAAGCTTCTCGAGCGGGGCGCGGCCAACGACCGACAGTGGCCAAGGATGGGGCGGAGGGAATGGGTGCAAGAGAAACCTTGGGACGTCGCTCATCCTTGCTAATAGTGTTGGCTGTATGTTTCGCCGTGCGTGAGGGTCTTCGGGGGTTCGTTAACCAGAGGGGCAATGAACAAGGGGAGGAAGAGTGGACCTTTCGAGCACGTTTGCTCAACCCAAAATTGCGCAAGCCCTGCAACGGCTGTGCCACACTATCGCACCAAGCAGACCCGGAGCCACGCGAAGACCAACCTGCAAAAGGCGAACCCCCACGCGACTCCTTGGCTTAAGCAATACAGCGGGGGCCCGACCACAAGGAAGCTTCCTCAAGAAACCCAGCCCTGAGACCCCAGGACGTCCATTGGCTTTTGGTGTGGGAACGTCACGCCTTCCACAGCAAAACCATCGACACCCAAGAAACACAAGGCACCCCGGAGGCAAGCAAGGTGCTTCTTGGCATGGACCTCCACCGTAAAACGCCAATACATGTAGGGGGAAGACGAAGAGGAGGAGTGGTTGCCGAAATCAGCTGTCCCGCGCACAAGAAGATTCGAATCTTGGCCGCGGCCAGAGAAGTGAGAGTGCCCCGGAAGCGAGGGGAGGGGGGAGGCAAGCATCGGGGCGGACATTCTGGCGCATGTTCAACGCGCGAGCGGGCTGGACGGAACACTCTCCGCCTGAACGGAGCTCCGTGAATAGACAAGCGCGTTCCACTACTCGTCAACTAGCTACTCGCAGATGGCCTGCATCCGCCGCAGGGACTTGACAATATATATATATATATATGACACAAAGGCATACGTATGGTTTTTCGGATGTTTGCGAGTAGGGGCCCGACCACAATGATCTCTCCACAAGAAACCCAACCTTGAGACCCCAGGAAGCCCAGTGATGTTTGGTGAGGGAACGTCACGTCTTCCATCGCAAAACCATCGAAACACAAGAAACCCAGGGCACCCTGCAGGCAAGCAGGGTGCTTCTTGGCATGGGTCTCCACTGTGAGCACTCTGCGAGTAGTGGAAGGAGCTAGCTTTCTGTCAGGCGTGTCTCCCTGCAGGCGGATTCTGGACGACAAACAGAACGCATCAACAAACACATCGGCAATACTGAAGGGGCCCCAGGACACACAAAGAAATACACACACATATAAACATATTCCCCATAGTTTCCAACATTGTCTGGGTTTTTGTCTCCCCCCCCACTTCCCATATTTTCCAATATTTTCTGGGAATCGACGATTAATTGTGTCTGTGTGTGTTTTTCCCCTCCTGAAATATGCAAACATAGCCGGAATAGGTGTTGACCACTTTTGAGCATGCCTCCTGTAGAGGGACATGCCTCGACTTCAGACTCGTGGAGCGAGCTCGGCGAGCGAGGCGCCTCTCGAACACCTCCTGGGGGCCCGCGGCGGCAGCTCCCGGGAGCGCGGCTGCCTCGGGCCCCCTGCTCGTGGGCCCCGCCTCTTCCGGCCGTCCTGGCTCTCCGCGCCTCCCCCCGCCTCAGTGGGAGCTTTGGCAACCTTGAAATACCACTACTCTTAATGTCATTTTACTTATTCCGTTAGACTGAGACTTGCACCACAGCGAGTTTTGGATCTAAGGTTGTCTTTTCTGATGGTTGGTCTGTGCGGAAGACATAGTCAGGTGGGGAGTTTGGCTGGGGCGACACATCTGTTAAATGATAACGCAGGTGTCCTAATGTGAGCTCAATGAGAACAGAAATCTCATGTGGACCACAAGGGGAAAAGCTTGCTTGATTTTGATTTTCAGTACGAATACAAGCTGTGAAAACATGGCCCATCGATCCTTTAGGTCTGGGGGTCCGGGGCCTCCTGGAGCCTCTCTAGAGGCCTCGGGGATGGGGGCCCTCCTCCTCCTCCTCCTCCTCCTCCTCCTCCCTCCACCTGCCTCCTCCTGCCTCCTCCTGCCTCCTCCTCCCTCCTCCTGCCTCCTCCTGCCTCCTCCCTCCTCCTACCTCCTCCTGCCTCCTCCCTCCTCCTGCCTCCTCCTGCCTCCTCCTCCCTCCTCCTCCCTCCTCCTCCCTCCTCCTCCTCCCCCCTCCTCCTCCTCCCTCCCCCTCCTCCCTCCTCCCTCCTCCCTCCTCCCTCCTCGCTCCTCCTCCTCCTCCTCCTCCTCCTCCTCCTCCTCCTCCTCCTCCTCCTCCTCCTCCTCCTCCTCCTCCTCCTACCTCCTCTGGACCTCCTCCCTCCTGACCTCCCCCCCTGCGCGGGGCCGACGCCCAATGCCGCGCTCGTCGGGCCGCGCCCGAGGCGGGCGGTCGTCGGCAGCCCAGAGGTCCAGGGCGGGGCCCCTCCGAGGCCGAGCGGGCACGCCGGGTCGGGCAGGTCTTCCCCCTTCGGGCCGATGCGGGGCGAAGAGGACGAGGGCAATGACGAGGAGGAGGAGGAAGAGGAGGAGGAGGACACAGACGAGGACAACAACGAGGAGGAGGAGGAGGAGGAGGAGGAGGAGGAGGAGGAGGACAGTTAGGGGGCCACGTGCGAAGCCTACCCCTGCCCCCCACGACCTCTGAGGGGGAGGGCGGGGTTCCTTTCGCCCTTTAACGGTGGTCAAGGGATGCCCAGAGGTAGCCCAAAGGTAGGCGAAGAATCGTCCCCAGACATTTTTTCCGACTGCGTTTGCATATTCCCCCTGCAGAGGGACTCGTCCGATTTCAGGCGAATGGGATGACGCGAAGCGCCCAAACTTCCAGATCCTCCATGGCATGCAATGCTTGCGCCCTCCTGCTCCCGCAACGTCCCCTTCCACTGCAGATTGAACCGTCCCCGCGATCAAATCTCCTGGTCCTTCACATCCGCAAGGGGAGAGCCACTGATCAAGAAGACGTCCGATATGATCGCCATCACTGGGCTGCCGTACAGCAGAAGAGTGAAGGCAAACGCCATCACGACGTCCTGGCAATGACCATTGGCAGACGATACGCTATGAGTGTGGATAACCAGGGAACACCATGGAACCGACGATCGACACATGTTCCAAGCCAAAATAGAAATGCTGCGCCGCGTATATGGTTGTCTACTTGTTCTGACAGCTTTCCCTACCCTGCATGCAATGAATTATATATCGTTTCCTGAAGAAATATTTCAACAGTCTGCTGCACGCCGAACAAAATGAGATACGCATCCGTGATCCACTCGGATTTGGAGAAACGCACGAACGCGCATGACCCAGCACTAACGAGTCATCCACAGTCTATCTACCTATCAGACTTCGATCGCGTTTGCATGCACAGAGAAGGGGTCCATACTATACTGGCGTTGTTCCACTATGTCCGAGAGGCCGTTGATGATGGCAATGCTGCTGAGCACCACGGCGAATACGATGTGGCACAGGTTGCGGAACTGCGGCCTTCACCGGTGATGGCAAGAAACGGCTAGCCGCTCGAAGGCGAGACCCCACAATCATCCAAACACCAACCAGATCGATATCAACGAGCCCAATCGGGCCATTTAGCCTCCGAGTTGGGGTCCGAGTAGATGGTCGGAGGAGCGCGCCGCATCGCCGATGCATCTCCGATGCCTCGGCGACGCCGCCATGGAGAAAACCGGGGTCCACATCTAACCACATCCCCGATGCATCGGAGATGCGGCGTGACCCTTCGATCCCACCTGCGCGGACCTCATCCGGGAGGCCTAGATTCTGGCTTGAACGACTCGGGGGTCTCACAGACCCGGGTCAGTGCAAACCCGGGATAGTCAGGCCTTGCAGGATCCTTTTTGTTTGTTTGTTTGTTTTTTCTTCCCTTTGTCGTCATAGTATTGTTTCTTTACTCTGGGCTGCAAGATCTTGCAAAACCCTGTTATGAATAAAATCCTGGAGGCCTCGCGCGGCAACTTGAGACCCGACTTACGTCGGATCTACGTCGGATTCACGTCGGATTTACGTCGGACCGACTCCTGAGCATCGCCGCGCGAGCGTCGACCCATAGCTAACGGAACCGACAAGTGGACCAGATCATACTGCTCTTACTCGCCGCGCGAGGCCTCCAGGATTTTCCTCATAAGCCCTGCAATCTGCTGCAGGATTTTGCAGCATCCTGCAGGATCCTTGTGGGCCCCTGCCCCCCAGCCCAGGATCCTTTTTGTTTGTTTGTTTGTTTTTTCTTCCCTTTCTCGTCATAGTATTGTTTCTTTACTCTGGGCTGCAAGATCTTGCAAAACCCTGTTATGAATAAAATCCTGGAGGCCTCGCGCGGCAACTTGAGACCCGACTTACGTCGGATCTACGTCGGATTCACGACGGATTTACGTCGGACCGACTCCTGAGCATCGCCGCGCGAGCGTCGACCCATAGCTAACGGAACCGACAAGTGGACTAGATCATACTGCTCTTACTCGCCGCGCGAGGCCTCCAGGATTTTCCTCATAAGCCCTGCAATCTGCTGCAGGATTTTGCAGCATCCTGCCCCCCAGCCCGGGGGGGCGAGGGGGAGGGGGAGGAGGAGGCGGAGGAGGAGGAGGAAGGAGGAGGAGGAAGGAGGAGGAGGAGGAGGAGGAGGGAGGAGGAGGAGAGGAGGAGGAGGAGGGGAGGAGAGGAGGAGGAGGAGAGAGAGGAGGAGGAGGAGGAGAGAGGGGGGAGAGAGGAGGAGCATCCTGCAGGATCCTTGTGGGCCCCTGCCCCCCAGCCCGGGCAAACGCACCCCGGGCTCTTCGACGGCCTGCCACGGACCGGGGGCCCTGAGCGACCCCCGTGCGCGTGGACCCCCGCCCCTCGCGCCCCGAAGAAGACAGGGGGAGGGGGCGCGAAGTCATGGAGGGGGCGATGCTTTGGGGGGGGGAGAAGAAAAGGTGCCCTTTGGGGGGGGGGAAGGTACCCTTCTCGGGCCGGAAAGGCCGGGGGGGGGGAAAGAAAAGGCACCCTTTCGGGGGGGTGGGGGGAGAAAAGGTACCCTTTGGGGGCGGGGGAAGAAAGGTACCCTTTGGGGGGGGCGGGGGAAGAAAGGTGCCCCCTTGGGCACTACATGGGGCCCCTTCTGCTGCAGCCCCCGCAGCCCCCCCCCCTTCTCGCCCCGCCCCACTGCGCGCTCCCCCCCGACGAGAGAAGAAAAGGAAGGGTCGGAGGTCTACCATTATGTCGGGCGTGTCCCCCTACAGGGGAATTTTCGAAGAAAAAATAAAAATACCCCCAAAATGCCCCAAAAAGGTATAATATATATATATATATAAATACTCAAAAAATAGTCCCCAGACCATTTTTGGAGTCTACCAACCTAAGACATAAAGTCTACCAACCTCCGAAGAGCTTTCCATCCCGAACCGTCGTCTGGCGAGCCCCCCGCGGCTGCCCAGGGCCAGGCCCGGTAGAGAGCCCCCGAGAGAACGAGGAAGGCCCGCAGGAACCCTTCTCCTCCCAGGGGGCCCAGGGACACACAAACATGAATACACACTGATTAAATTCCAGGATTCCCACCATTTTTCCAGATTTTCTTGGTCTTCGTCTTCCCCCCCGCCTCCCACATTTTCCCAGATCTTCCTGGGAATCGACGATTAATTGTGTATGTGTGCTTTTTCCCCTCCTGACTCCTTCAAGGTTGCGTGGAAATCGACCCCTAACCAAGAAACAACAAACACAGGAGTGCCCGTGTTGACCACAAATGTGCAACTCTCTGTCGCTATATGGCCATGTACAGTCAGACCTAGGCCATGAGAACGTGTTTCAAGAACATGAGACCCTCCGCGGGCTAAAACACACAGAACATGCAGCGGTATCCTTCCCAGGATGCACACTCATATCCAACAAACACGAAGAACACTAGGGCATCCTCCCCGGACCGACCTCGATCTTGTACCTCGGTCCGACTGTAATCGACCCCTAACCTCAAAAACATGGCTGCCCTTGTCGGCCGCAAATTTGAAACTATCTGTCGCCATGCGGCCAAATATGAGCCGCGTCAACATCGCAGAGGGAGGGTGGTGGGGGCGGGGGCAGCTGCATGCCACTGCTCAACAAACAAACCTTGCTCCGGTGTGTGTGTGTGTGTGTCCGCCGCGATTGCCGCGGAGACCTCCCAAACCGACTGGGAACTCTGGTTCGTGGTCGAGCATCACGCAACGGTATCAGGACCCCTTCTTTTCGCCAGGGGTCCTGAACGATGCTTTGGCGATTTCGTGGGCCGTTTTCGCTTCGATGTCGCATCACAGGCGGATGGAAAACAACACCAGGAAAAACGAACACGACGCGAACACGTCAAACGCTTGTCAGGTCGATCCCTGCGTTTCATAGCGGCCCCTCCTTCCCCCTCGCCCCAGGCGGCCCCGCTGTGCATTCCGCCGTCCCCCCCTCCCCGTGGCCCGCTCCTCCTCCTGCTGCTCCTGCCCCAGTTTCCCACTGCTCCTCCTCGTTCCTTACCCCCTTGCTCCTTACCCTGACCCCCTTGCTCCTCCTGCTCCTGCTCCTTTATCCCAACTGCTTTCTCCTGCTCCTCATCCCCCTGCTCCTCCCGCTCCTGCTGCTCCCCTACTGCTCCGCCCCCCCCCCCCATCACCCTCCTGCTCCTGCTCCCCTTGCTGCTCTGTCCTGCTTCTCCACCTTCTGCTCCCCTGCTACACTAGGGAAACGAAGCTTGACACAAATCTAAAAATTCGGAGGTTCGCGCGGATTCCTTCGCTGCCCTTCGTCGAAGAAGAAAAAACGGCATACACATGAACTATTGGCGCTCCGCGCGGATTTCTTGGATCTGCGCTGGCGCCCACTGGCGGCGCCTCTGGCACCGCCCCTGGCGCGCTCCGCGCGCCAGGAAGGGGGGCCCAGCGCGGATCCGAGAAATCCGCGCGGACCTCCGAGTTGTTGTGTTGATGTCATTATTCGTTCCCCTGCTCCCTTCTCCTCTCTGCGAGCGCGCATGTCCTCAGGGGCTGCTTGCGCAGAGGATCAAACAGCTGCACTGATATGGGCCTCCAGAGGTCCACGCGAACTGCTCGGATCAGCGCTGCCCCCCCCCCCCCCCCTTGGCGCGCGGAGCTCGCAAGGGGCGGCGCCGGAGGCGCCACTGGAGGGCCCAGCGCCGCTCCGGGAAGTCCGTGCGGATCTTAGCGAAATTGTTTTCGCGCAGTTACTGGAGCCAAGTCAGGCCTGTCCCCCTACAGGGGGATTTTCCACGAAAAATAAAAAACACCAGCAAAAAAAATCAAACAAATGTCCAACAATAGTCTGGGGACTATTTTTGAGTGCTCCTCCCTCCCTCCTCCTCCTCCTCCTCCTCCTCCTCCTCCTCCTCCTCCTCCTCCTCCTCCTCCTCCTCCTCCTCCTCCTCCTCCTCCCTCCTCCTTCTCCTCCTCCTCCTCCTCCTTCCTCTCTCCTCTCCTCTTCCTCCTCCTCCTCCCTCCGCCTCCTCCTCCTCCTCCTCCTCCTCCCTCCCGTCCTCCTCCTCATCCTCCTCCTCGTCCTCCTCCTCGTCCCTCCTCCTCGTCCCTCCTCCTCGTCATCGTCCTCTCTCCTCTTCCTCCTCCTCCTCGTCCTCGTTTTCTCCTCCTCTCCTCCGCCTCCTCCTCCTCCTCCTCCTCCTCCTCCTCCTCCTCCTCCTCCCTCCTCCCCCTGCTCCTCCTCCTCCCCCCCCTCCCCCCCTCCTCCCTCTCCTACCCATGGCAGCGGAGGTGCAACATCTGCCCATCACAGCAGGCAGGAACGCACTGGGCATCATGTGGCTCGAGGGGGGGGGGGGGGCAGGACGGTGCCCCGAGCTGGGCAGGCGGCGGCCACGAGGTTCCGCAGGGCTCGGCGGTCGGAGGCGCTTCAGCTTGCGCACCCAGGCCCTCGAAGCGTCGTACCCGCCTGCCCCCTTGGGGCCCTGGGTCGTCGAGCGAACTGAGCATCGTTTCACCGATCCCTACCCCCACTCGCAGGGCCTGGACCCCACTGGCCGGTTTACCCCTCCTAGATGGGGATATAGGCAGTTTCTGTCAAATCTCCAGGGGTATGTCCCCAACTGGGGGGATGAGATGGTGGGGTCTGGATGGGGATGAGGATGGGTTAAACGATACTGACACACGGTGGGGGGCAGAACCGTCCCACTCAATATCGGAAGCTGGGCGAAGGCCGGCAAATCCGTGGCTGCTAAAACGATCTTCCTTGTATAAAAAAGCGCATTCCGGGAAGAAAGCTCAACGCGCCAGATGGTACACGGACTGCTTCCTGGAAAGAAGAAACAATTTCCCGGAGCTCCGTTTTAACAGCCACGGGTTTGTCAGCATTCGCCTGGCTTCTGATAGTAGCTGCAATAATCGTGCCAGAACGTGTCATGTCAAACTCGCCCGAAAGCGGCAACACTGGACATAGAGGTTTGAACACAGATAAACAATTACAACGAAATGCGTATCACGGGCATGACAAACGGCGAGGAATTCACGTCTGTACACGGATGCATGTGTGTATGTTTTGCACAATGTTTCGGCGCCAGGGCTTAACAGAAAAGCGCGATGCCACGGCAGACGGCCATAATCGTCATCGAACAACGTGGATGCGACACATGGCAAACGAGATGGTGCCAGGTTGAATGGTGTGGAACGTGCCTGCATCGATCCGCCAACTTGCCTGCATCGATCTGGACGCGTGAGAATGTCAGGTGCTGATTTGTAGGGCTTCTGTATTCGAATCGCGGCCCCGCTACTACCAGAGTGGTGTGCGCATTTTCCTCTCCCGAGGCCAAACAGCCCATTAAATGTTAGCCAACGTGGGCCCCAGGCAATGTGTTTCTAGCTATCTTGGTGTGCTATCAATGTGATGCGATGTGCGTTGTGGCAGGTGGTGAAACTGAAACTGTGCAATCTATGTTGTGCTACCGATGTGGTGCCCTGCCGAACTTGAAATTGTCAACCCCATTTCTCGCGCAATCATCCCGCCCACCCACCCGCAACCTGGCAAGACACATGCGGGGGCGATCGGCATGACCGCTTGGCGCTGGCTGGTGCATCGCTGCGGCCGCGCTCGCGCGCGCAACTTCGCGCGCAGAGCGGCCAGCTGGTCTGGCGCGAACGACGCGGGCGCGGTGGCGCTGACCGCTGGGCACTTCCCAACGAGTCTCGCAGGCCGCGCTGACGCGCGGGCACTCCAATGCGAGTCGGTGACTCGGGCGGGCGCTGTATCATGGTGATGTCGACAATGGCAAAAACGAGGATGATAGCAGCGATGCAAGTGGCGACGATGACGGCGACGACGGCAAAGGCAATGACGGCGCCGATGCTGATCACGCCACGCCGATGACGATACCGGCGCCCACGTGTCGGTGATGAAGATTTGGCAGGATTTCGACGTGCGCGCGCGGCCGACGGGCGCGAATGGCCCGCATAGTTTGATTTGATAGCGATGGCGCCCCCACCCCCAGCACGTGCGCAAGGGCCGTTCGAATGACTTCGATATGCACGCGCGAACGGCCTGTTTGATCGCATCTTGCGGAACTATTGAAAACTTCTGGTTAAAATTAACTAGCCAGATCGCGCGCACAAGCCTTGTGGACTCTGTCCCATGTGTTGTCAATCAGGTTTGGCAAATGCGTGTTTGTTTGATACAACGAGTATCTACGCATAGAATGTTGAGCAAATACTGACAGGGCGAGTCGATACCGGACTGGCTGGGATGGTATGCGTTGGTGTGGAAGGTAAGCGATGAGGTAGAATCATGTGCAAATTGTAATGTTAGGGGCGAGCGGATAATCCAGAGGGGGGGAGTGTAATTCTCTATAAGCAAAAGAGAACCTACGTAGTGCAATAGCTGTGGCCTAATATATGGATGCAATATGCGTTGTGCAACCTATTTTGTGCAACATGCGTGGTGCAATCAAAGTTGTCCGATGTACGCTGTGCCATCTATGCGGCGCCATCTAAGTCCTGCTATATACATGTTTAAAGCCATGTATACATTCATTTTTTTAACCAATAACATATGCAGATATGTATGTTTGTACGCACGTGTGTATGTATGTATGTATGTATGGATGGATTTCAGTAGATGCTTCTATGCGTGCTTGTATGCATGCATGTGTGTATGTAATCATATACATATATGTATACACACACTAGAACCAAACGCGCCGACGATTGCCAGCGTTCTCGGGCCCATGCCAACGACGCGACGAAACGCGTAGTCAGAACGCTCTCGCTCTGCCAGGGACGCCCTTCAGGGGTGGGAGGGGGAAAACAACTTGTGAAATGATAAGGTATAACGATGCCCCGCTTGATCTAGCGGGGCCCGTCTGGCGCTCTGGCGGGGCCGTCCCAGGAGGGAGGGGCACGAAAGCTGAGCGGTGAGGGGAGGACGATGAGAAAGGAAGGAACGGAGGCAAGGGGAGGGGGCGGGAGGGAGGGAGGGACGGATGGGGGAGACCCGGGCCATCTGGGCAGTCTGGGAGCGCTCTAGGACCTCCCGCTCCCGCTCTGTGGCCCAGCTTGGGCCCGTCCTGGGGTTCTCTTGGGCCGTCTGAGGCACCTCCTGGACTATTTTCGGGCTCCCTGGGGCCGTCTTGGGGCTCTTTTGGGTGGGTGCCTCTTCGGCGGTCTCGGGGTAGTCTTGGGGGCGTCTGCGGCCGTCTTCGAGCATTGGAAGCTCGAGAAAGCGAGAAAGCGAAACACATCGAACGGACCAATGCAAATCAATGCTTTGGGCCTCTTTGGGCTCTCTCGGGACGTCTCTCGGAGCTCTCTTGGGCTCTCTTGGAAGCCTTTTGGGCTGTGTGATTGCCGTCTTGAGCTCCTCTTGGGCCATGTTGGAATCATCTCGGCCGTCCTGGAGCGCCCTGGGGCCTCCCGCTCCGGCTCTGGGGCCCATCTTGTGCCTCTCCTGGGATGCTCTTGGGCAATTTTGGGCTGCTCTTGGGCAGTCTTCAGGCTCACCGGGGCTGTCTTGGGGCTTTTTGGGGGGGCTCTTCGGCGGTCTTGGGACGATCTTCGGTGCGTCTTCGGCCGTCTTGGAGCGTTGGAAGCTCGAGAATGCGAGAAAGCGCAAAAAAAGTGAACCAACGACTGGAAATCAAGGATATGGCCCTCTTCGGGCTCTCTCGGGACGCCTCTAGGAGCTCTCTTGGGGCCTCTTGGAGGGCTCTTGCGCTGTGTATTGGCCGTGTGGGTCCCATCTGGGGCCGCGTTGGGGCCATCATAGCCGCCAGACCGCCACACTGGCCCAGACGACGGGCGGCGACGAGGCGGCGACGGGGTGGCGACGGCGACAACGTAGCCACCAAACAGCCACACCACCACACCGGCCCAGTTCCCTAGAAAGGAGAACCCTTGAAAGCAAACAGAAATCAGGGAATATGCGTATGTCACTATTTGTGTTCCTGTGCACCCTCCTGTTCAATCTACTAGACAAGGAAGGAGACAGAAAGAGAGACAAGGCGAGGGAGAGAAACAAAGAGAGAGAGAGAGAGAGAGAGAACGACAGAGAGAGAGAGAGAGAGATAGAGAGAGGAAGAGAGAACTGGCGATAATAAAATATGACGCACTATACAAATGTAAAGAGCAAACTACATATACGTATAATATATGTCAAGAAGGCGGAGACAGAGAGAGAGAGAGAGAATGCAATAAGAGCACCAACACTATACACAGACAGAGGGAGGAAGGATCATCGAAAGCGCAACTACCCACAGTTTGGGGCCCGCGCTGGCAAACGTGAATGCACATATGTCGAAAGAGAAGGCGAGGCAGAAAGGTACGAAAAAGCGCCCCGCTTGCGCGATGTTTTTCGTGCAACCTCCGTGGTACAATCCAAGGGCGGCGACGGGCGGCGACGAAGCGGCGACGGGGGCTACATAGCCGCCAAACCGCCCACGGCCCAGACGACGGGCGGCGACGAGACGGCGACGGGGCGGCGACGGCGGTCACATAGCCGCCAGACCACCCACACGGTCCAGTTTCTTTAAAAGAAGGAAGAATCTCCGAGTGCAAATGCTTAGAGAAAGACGATGGGTCCGAACTGCCGAGGCCACGATCCCTCGTTAAAAACTACGGATGCGAGTCCCAGGCTTCCAAGACGTCCCATGCAAGCAACCAAGGACACCAAACTGGCCCCAAATGCCTCTAAGACGTGCCAAGATGGTCCCAAGGCGGCCGAATCTGGCCCCAAGACGACCTAAGATGCATCCAAAAAGGCCCACAAGGGCCACAAGATATCCCTGCCCCACCCCGGTGGGGAGGGGGGCCATGGGAAAGGTCCTCGCGTGGGAGGGTCCTGGGTCAGAGTACGGTCCCCCCACCTTCCCTTTTCGGGTAGCCTTCGAGCGAACTTGGCCGTCCTTCGGCACTTCAGGTCCAAGATCATCCAAGAGGGGCCCAGAGTCCTCCCCAAAGCGCTCCAAGATGGCCTCCAAACGGCCCAAGACGCCTCCAAGACGCCCCAAAAGGTCTCCATCAGCACTCCCAACGGGCCTGATTAGGCAACATTCATTTTACATTGTTGACTGATATTAGACCTTCTACCTTTTGGGAATCCCGACGCTCCAAAACGGCCCAAGAGGCCCCAAAGCCCTCCACGAGACAGTCTACGAGGCCGTCACAAAGGCGCAGACACAGCCAAAGAGGCCCGAAAGACGGCCCAGTAAGCCTCCAAAGCGGCCTAAGAGGGCTCCCAAAACGTCCCAAGAAGGGCCCCAGACGGCGACCACGAACCGACATCTCGAGCTCGCCGCCTCAAGGGGCTCGCGGGAGGCCCACAAGAGGCTCCCTGTTGGCCCCCAGCGAGGCTCCCAGAAGGTCCAAGACGCCCTCAAAGACACTCCCGAGAGGCCTCCGAACGGCCTCCTGAAACCGTTAGCGCCTTTCGGCGGGTTTTCTATGCGATGTTTCCCAACCCTCATGTCCAGGCGCGCAGCCACCCAAGAGGCCATGGCCTCCTGGTGCGCCGCACACGTCCAGGGCCCTCCTGGGGCCCTCTCATGTGCTCGCGGGGCCCTCCCCGCGCTCTACACGGGTCGCCTGGGGCAATTTTTCGGGGCGCCGTCTTGGGGCACCCCGGGCTCGAGCCGAGCCGTGCTCCACGTCAGGACTGCCTGGGGAACCTCCTCGGGGGGACTCTTCGGGGCGTCTGGTCCCGGCCCTCCCAGCACCTCTGGCTGCCACCTGCATCCTGCAGGTCTGCCTCTAGGGTCAGCGGCACTGGCCTGTGAGGCCTTCTCTCTCGCCCAGGATACCCAACAACCTGTCAACAGAGCTTCAAACATTGCCCCAAGAGGCCTCAGGTCCGCTCCAAGGCCGCTCCTCGTGGCCACGGAGCTGCCTCAAAAGCCCTGGGAGGCGAAACTCATTCAAAACCATACAGTTCTTCTGGTTGGCTTTCTCGCCTTCTCGTTTTCGATGGGCTTTGCGGCCCTCAAATGGCTCCAATACGGTCAAAAACCCTAATAAGGACGCGCGGTAAGGACGCAACAACCTTGGATGCCGAAGTTGGGATTTTTGGGGCGGCGGACGAGGAAAACTTCAAGGACGCAAGAGCAAGGAGGAGCAAGGACGCAAGGGTACCCTGAGCAAAGTCGCGCGTCCTTAGTAGGGCTTTTGACTGTATTGCCTACGAGGGCCCCCAGCGGCGCCCAGGAAGTCCCCAAGACTGCCCCAAGAGCGCCGGGGAGCGCCACGATAGCGGGTCAAGAGAGCCCAAAAGAGGCGGCTCAGCCTCGCGGCTCGACGGGGGGACGCACATAGGGAACCCACCCTCCGTGTTCGATGGCCTCCGAGATGGCCCTAAAGGCCTCCCAGGGCCTCCAAGAGAGCCCCGGCCAGCCCGACGAGAGGTCCAAGAAGGCTTAAGATGACTCCCAAATGGCTCCTGAAGGGCCCCACAATTGCCCAGAGAGGGCCTACGAGACCTCCCAACTGGACACAGGAAGGCCCTACGACCCTACGATGGCCCAAAGAGACCTGTCCCTCTCACTCTTTCCCCCTCCCCGCTATCCGTCTCCCCCTCCTCCCTCTTCCATCCTTCTCCTCCTCCTGCTCAACATCCCACTGTCAATGTCTGTTGTCACCCGTTGATCACAGGGTCGGCGGCAACTGACGTGAGGTCTTCGCAATAGTGAAAACGAAAGATGTCAGATGTGACGGCTTTCCTCCTCCTCCTCCTCCTCCTCCTCCTCATGCTCTTCCTCGTCCTCCTCCTCCTCCTCCTCTTCCTCTTCCTCCTCCTCCTCCTCCTCCTCCTCATCATCATCATCATCATCATCATCATCGTCATCGGCATCGTCAGCATCAGCATCAGCATCATCATCATCATCATCATCATCATCATCATCATCATCATCATCATCATCATCACCATGCTCAACCATCATCATCATCAGCATCAGCATCAACATCATCAGCATCATCATCAACATCATCATCATCATCATCATCATCATCCTCATCCTCCGCCTCATCATCACCACCACCATCGTCACACGCGACGGCCTCCCGTGCCTCCTCGAATACTGCTGGGCTGGCACAGTGGCAGAACTTGCCGCAGGCAGCTAGATATTCAAAGGGGCGCCGCAGGCACAAGGCGCAACAGAGCCGCCCGCAGCACATACAACTCCCACCACGCGTTCGCACCCCCGCCAGTACGCAATACGCCACACGTTGGAAAAAAATACCTCGCCCTAAAGCGACGCCGACACTGGTCCGTCAACCGATGTCGGGGATGCACGCATTACGGACTCGGCCAAGCTGCTTTCCAATCGACGCTGCCCCACTGGACCCCACTTCAACATGGGGGAAACGGGTCCTGCTTCTTCTGACAGTCCCTGGGCCCGTGGAGTGCCCCGAAACAGCAAAAACGGTGCAAAATCTTGGAATACGTTTCCCTTGGGCCCGTTTCTCCCATGGCGAGCGCTACTCTCAGGCTGCTGATCCTGCCGAGACAACCGAGGTGCAAGGGACCACTCTGAAGGGGCCCAGGGACACACAAATAGACTAACACGAATCCCAGGATTCTCGTATGTTTCCCCATATTTTCTGGATTTTCGGCGTCCCCCCCCATTCCCATATTTTCCCATACGTTCCTGGGAATCGACGATTCTTCGTCTGTGTGTGCAGAGGGCAGAAAATCCAACCCGATGATAACCACCCCGACACGCGAAGACGTTTAGTAAACGCACCCCAAGAAGGAATCAAGCAGGGCAACGCTGTTTAGTAAACGCCCAGGGCCGCTTACTAAACGCCAATTGTCGGATCCGGATGTTTGTCCTCCCTTGAGTGTGTTCTTGTTCCCCGTGACGATCGGCGGGAGAAGCACCGCGAGGCTGCCCCGCATAGGCTCAGGCACAGCAGAGCGCAGAGGTACGACGGCCCGCTGAAGCCGCTGGCGCAGACCAGGTCCCGCTGGCGCTGCATGCCGAAGGCGAAGTCCTGAGGATCCACGGCGATTGAACACATGCGGCCCGTCCTCCTCCTCCTCCTCCTCCTCCTCCTCGTCGTCCTCCTCCTCCTCCTCCTCCTCCGTCTTCTTCTGTTTATGTGTCTTCTTCTGATCATTATTATTTGCTTCTGCTTCCTCTTCTTATTATTGTTCCTCCTCCGCCTCCTCCCTCTCCTCCTTCTCCTCCTTCTCCTCCTCCTCCTCCTCCTCCTCCTCCGTCTCCTCCTCCGCCTCCGCCTCCGCCTCCGCCTCCGCCTCCGCCTCCTTCTCATCCGCCTCTCCTCCTCCTCCTCATCCGCCTCCTCCGCCTCCTCCTC